TGACTAAGGTATTATAGTAGACTGTTTTCTGCCCGTAGATTCGCGCCCTTGCCCCCCACTCTTCACCCCTGAGTATAAAATCCCGAGTAGTGTGACAGCAGGTGCTTGTGAATTTGCATGTGTATGTATAGTACAGTACTACAGTACATTTCTCAGTGATTAATCCCTATATTGCTAATTGACTGATTAAAGTTATTGTTGTTAATCCACACATTTTGAGGGTATCGATTCACAACTAATTAACAACACTGTCGGTTTAGTGAGCAGACCATGCTAAAGTATTATATAAAACAAAATAAAAATATTGAATATATAATTCCTGATTTATAAGAAGTTGCATATAAAGTAGTTTACCTTTTAAGGTGGGGGGGAGGTGTGTTGTATTTGAACTATTGCACAACGCCTACTTGGAGTTATATCACTTGGTTTACATGGGAAGAAAAAGAAACCAGTTTGTGAATTCAGTACCTCAATGAAGGCCTCTGGCCAAAATGTCAGTTTTAGATCTGTCTACAATAACTATGAGGTTATATTTTACTATCCAGGTCTTTCAAGTTTTGGTCTGCATCCACAAAACCCTGCAAACCTCGCAAGCTGGAGAAAGAGGAATTCTAGGCAGACCCCTGCAACCTACCTGGCTCCGACCTATTCATCATTTAACATGGCACAGACAGCAAAACTCCATAGCGGAGGTGCAGCGCTGATTGGAGGACAGTTATGCCCCTAGCTAGCAGCAGCACCCATTTGCCTATTAGCAGCTGGGAAGCCACAGGGGTCAGTGTGACACCTAGAACCAAGAGACCTTTAGCCGACTGATTCTGTTCAACCACTGGCAGAGCTCAAGCACCTGGGGGCTTCCCAGTCACAGTCAGCTTGTGACCTGACCCCGACGCAACCTGTACAGCCTGCAGTTGGGCATGTAAGCCACTCAGGATGGCCCCATAAATGTGAGCCTTTCAAAAGTGAGTGTGCGGGCATTAACTGTATCTTGTTTAATGTTTTGACCAATTCTCCTACTCGCCAGTAGAAACAGCTCGATTTTTTTGTCATAATCCATATACAAAAAATAATTGAGCTTTTGACAGTTTTGTTAGAATTAATAAATAACTGTATTAATTTTATCATCAGTTTTGTAAAAGCAAGTGGTTTATAGTGAAATGTTATTTTAAATCAGTTTAATCAGTCATAAGAGGTCCTGGAAACTTCACTTTAGCCTCAGAGGAATTAATGCATTATTTAACCCTGAAACTAAGAAAAGTAATAGTAAAAAGAATGTAAATGTCAGCAAATGTAGTCCTGAGAAACTGACCTGGTAGAATAAAAGTAGAACTGAGTTTTCAGCAATAGTCATTCATAGAATATCGAAAATGTGCAGTCTGCACTATACAGATAAGCAGAGTTTTAAAAGATGGCTAAACAGTTAAAATCTGTTCTTAAAAAATCAGATTATAATGAGAAGAAGCATTTGCCAGTTTGTTGGCTTCGTAGTTAAGTGTACTTTTCGTTTTAAAAATTGGCAGCTATAGAGATTGTGGGTTTTTGTAGATTAGACACAAGGGCTTCTGTAAATCAAAAACAATCATCTGTTTGCAGATGTAAAAATATTATATATTGGAAAAAGTGTGAGGTATTAAAATAATTAAAATCGATGCATTAATACATTTTAAAAAGACCAAGAATAATATGCAGTATTCTAAACTGATGTGTCAGAAATTTGGCCTTATTTTATGTTCTCAAACTAATTTTCACTTCTGGAAGTTGCAATTGTAAAGCAAACAGTGAAATCTGTTTTATATTAAGCGTTGATTTAAAAAACGTTTCAAATAGGCTACTAAATAGTAATGCAATTTTTCCGAAGCCTTTTCTTTTTATATGTACTCAGACCCACTTTTTGGAGGTTGTATTGGTATGGTTTGAGTTATAGTAGTCCACTATTGGATGAGCTGTCAGTACAGTGGTTTCTAGTGCTTCAGTTACCCAGCTCACAGACTAGCCTGTTTTATTTAACCTGTAGCTTCCAATTTTAGATGTCAAGGTAGTCATTTTTGGAAAAAAATGTCCAGTGACTTCACAAGATTAATATTGGTGGAAAAGTCAAATTAATTTAATACACCATAATATCATTTTTCTAGAGATCTTTAGTCTATTATTCTGAACTAGTAAATGAATGAATGAAGAGATTAAATAAATTTAAACAGCATTTGTTTGCCCCCTATTCCTAGTGTAGAAAAAAGATAGTGAGACTTTTTTGAAACAACCATTTGGTTTGAATCTTGTTGAGGTTATTGTGCATTTTTTTTATTTTCATTTTTTGTGGTATATATGGCTTTTTGACTTTTAGGGGAACGTATTTCATATCCTCAACGGATGCTTTTGCTTACTTTTAAAGTTGCTATTATGGAACGTGAAAAAATTGGTTTTGGGTATTCAGGTGCTGGTGCTTGTCATCTTTTTTTTCAGACTTCTTTGATTCTTGAACTTTCTTTCTATCTCTGCATGACAAATTAAACCTTGATATTACTTTTTCCCTAAAATTGTCGTGCCTTGTTAAGCCCTAGATCTTGTGTTTTGCATTTTTAATTAAAGTGTACAATACAAGGTACCAACCTTTCGGAGTTTATAAGACATTGAGACATAATGTGTGGTTTGCAGGGAGTAAATGTCTCCTAAAGTCTCTAAATCTTATGGTTTTGTCTACATTTTAAGCTAAAACAGAACTTCCCTGTATCCCCAAAACATTGATGTTCCCAAATGTTGATATGTGTGATGGCTGCTTCCCCTACAGATAGAAGGGATGAAAATCGATGAGGCTCTGCTTGAAGAAAACTTGAGAGTCTTTCAGTGTTGAAGTCCAGCCTCTTTGTGAGATACTAATGAGTAGCTGTGGATTTAATTGTGCCACCCAAGAAGCACAATGCACCATTTTGTAAAAACACTGCTGTGATGCTAGAATTCTATAGCTTACAACCAATTACAATGTAGAAGACAGAAAGAATTTCTAATTGAACTTCAGAAAAATGCCTGCCCATCCTCATTCTGTAATGCTGATCATTATTTCAAATAAAGCATTGGTGCTGTATACTCTGTCTTGGCAGCTTTGGTTAGAGTGAGCTGTTCTTCTGCACCTGTTTTGAGACTTGCTTCAAATTCTCTTAAGAACAGGTGAAACCAACACAAATGAAACTCTTGGATTTTGCAAACAGTTGCTGGCAATCTATTTTCAAACTGGAAACATCAACTGAAAAAAGCCCTTTGGGATATAAAATTCATAGAAAAAAATTGAAAAAGCCTTTTTGAGGTATAAAATTCCTAACATCATACTGTTTTTTTGCACATCTCTTTGTTCTTGGCACCTGTGTGTCACACAGGGAAATCTTAAGTCAGCCATGGTTAACTCAGGTTTTTTAACGGCTCACTGAGTTGTTGAAGTCCTAAAAATTTTAATATATCTTTAGCTTTCTTCTAATTTTCCATTAGAAAAGTGTAAACCGCTGATGCTTGTTAAGAACAAAATTGAATGCATAGCCAAACATTTTATGTTAATCAAGTCACATCTTGATTGTGATTTGTTACTGGAGGTACTGTTTAACCTTCAGCAAACTGACCAAAATTAATTTTTTATATAAGCTGAGTATTTTCCAGCCAAAATACTACAGATGTTGCTGTACAAACATTGAAATCGAAACTGCTGTCTTGCATCTACTGTTGAAAGTTTTCCAACAGGTGTTTTGTTCTGTACATGCTTCCCAAGCACCTGGATTTAGATTAACTGAAAACCTTGGTAGTAAATATACAGCTGGGTAATATTACTTGAGATTTTATGTCATTACAGTATTAGAATTAAAACTGAAAAAAAAAACATTGAGATGTGATTTATTAGTCTTGTAAAAACACCTTTGTGATTTAGACTTGATTTCCTAAAGGATTTAATTTCGTCAAGCACAATTTAAAATAGGCATTGTAAGCTGGTAGTACAGAATAATTTATTGCATTCCTGAACATATCCAAACAGTGGGTACTGATATGATACAAGCTGTAGTTTAAGTGTTACTACTTATATTGTAGTGTTAAATACTCAGTTAATAATGAACCACCTTCTTCAATTAGAGAGCCATCCTACATTGTAAAATCTATTAATGATGTTATCAATTATAATATTTTGCATTATAACAGATAATAATTATGACATTTGAAAGCCAAGACACTTAGAAATATAAAAAAGTCCATCTTTCTTAGGAAGATAATAATAATTGATATACCTTCTGTTCATTAAAAACCTTAACTGTGGGCTTTCAAATCAATCCATTTCAAAACCGTTCCGTTTTCTTTCCACTGAGTTTAATATTTTATTCGCCTGAAAATAACCCTCTTAAGGTTTTATGATAGTTCTTTATTATTGCGGGTTTGAACTGCGAGGCCAAATAAGGAAACAATTACAGGATGTTGGCTCAAAAAGTGTGTCAATTTGCCAAATAAGTTTATCTTGATTTTCGTTGTGGCTGAACACATTCTGGAAGGTTAGCCGAGTTATTAAACAAAAACGTATGGTAGCTTCAAAATCATTCAGGTCATTATGCTGTTGATCTATTTGTCAGAAATAGTCAAACTAGTTTTTAGAGTAAAGACTCCAGTGCCCTTGCTATTCCCTTTATTAAGTAAAATATATAGTTTTTTAAAACTTTTCAAAGGACGTATGTAACATATATCTAACCTTTCACTCTCCTAAATAGCTATATATTAATTTTATTGTCATTAATATATTATGGATGTAAAGTTTTTTTTATTTTTTTAAATATTAGATTTGATACAATTGTTTACTTTCTGAACACAATACAGTGTGATATAATGTATGAAATGTTATGTTCAAGTCAGGCAGCAATATTGTTTTTTTTTATCTTTTTGATTATTAACAGTACAGGTCTTCAAAGGAGTTGCATAGCCAAGATTTCACTCTTCTTCTTGAAGTAGTAGTTGAATCGAGCCATTGCATACCTACAAAGAAAGAACATAAGACTTAAATTACACGGAACATGACATTAAACTCGCAGGTTGTTCATGCATTCAATTATGACAGTAAGTTAAAAAGCATTCATTAGCTTTGCTAACATGCCAGTTAAACTATTTAGCACTAGTAAGGTTTTGGGGTAATTTTACCATACTGTGCTGTATGCTGTACTTTGTGGGATTTTTTTGCTCCAGTGTGCACATTGTTATTTACAGTAAGTGGCATCTGCCAGCAAGCACAATACTGGAAAAGACATAATTCCTGAGAATAGCACACCTGTTTAGGCCTTTTGTCATGTAAGGTCTTTTGTTTTGACCTACATACAGTACATGTAAAATAACCATGCGAGGCATGAGTGAATCTAGTAATGATAAAACATAAAAGAGACTCCTTATCCTGTTGAAGGATTATCAAAAGGCAATCAATGCAAATGGAAAACATTCATTCCAAATTCATTGTCAAATATATTCACCTAATATGCTTCAAATGCATTTCTTTACCTTGTTTTTGCATAAAGAGGAATAACACACAGTATCTGAGTTATTTGAAATTCATCATTGCTGCCATTGATCACTGTACTATCACCTAAATGTCATCTTGTGTCAAGAGAGAGAAAAAACTATTAGAATCAAATGGCTTAGACGAGTCTTTTAAGATCAACCGGCAATGTCTTTAAATATTTTCTAAGCCTATGAACTGTGAGCTTTACTTTGATTTTAAAAGTTATTCATTAACATAGATGTGGCACGTTATGCTAACACTTCCTTTCAGACAAAAACATTATTCATTTAATCACCATTATTAAGAAGTCGTTTAAATAATACCACATGAAAGCAACTACTTTCAGATACAAAAAAGGAAGTGATTACATTAAAACACTACTAATTCACACCGTTCCCATCCAGCTTTTATTTAAGGAAAAAAAACACCACTTCATCACTTTAACTGCGAGAAAAGAAAATGAAGTGAAAGATTAAGGTAGGATTAGGTTAAATGTCAGTAATGAAAGGGAAGATGAGATTTAGCAAGAGCGAAGTGATTAAACAAGAGATGAGAACAGCCTGGAGGAAACAGATGGTTGTACAACAAACATTTAAATACAGCAGATTGTGGAATTTTCTTTTAAAGAAATAAGAAAACCACATTAAAACTGTTAATAAGAAGGTAGGTAGAAAAAAGGGCAACAAATTTTACCTTGAAGTTCAATTTTAAAAATGCGATCATCCAAAACTGGGAGTATGATGTACAAATAAAAATAGTGGAGATCATGTGATTAAAATGTATATTAATTGTATCTATAAATGTCATCAAAATATCAAAAGTCTTTTGATATTTGGTCTGGTACGACAGCTTTTTGAAAAACAGTAAAATTTGCTCTTGTTCTTGCAAATGCTTCTCGTGTGTCTTCTGTAAGTATTGCTGCTAATGCTGAGATGGGTGTTTTTTTTTTACTTTGATTTTTAAAAGAAATTATGAATATTTTCTTGTTAAAAGGTTTTGAGTTTTTCTGTGTCCTTCAGTGATTTTTTTCCTCTTTCCTGTCCTCTGACTTGATGTCTGACATCTTCAGTACCTGTCTGCCTGTATACTGTACTTATACTGTACTGTTTTGAAGATTATATTAGAGGCAGTAACTAATTTATCAAGTAATGCATGTTTTTATCAAACCAAGCAAAATTAGAAACTTACTTTTTCGTTAAGAATGTTAATGCATGGCTTAGACAATTTAAGTAACAATTAGAAGTTATTGAGAATTTAAACAATTTCCACCCGTTTTAACTGTATTTTGTTTTAATTTAGATATAAAAATACATTTAGAAATTTCCAGAAAAAGCATGTTCACACAGACAAGGATAATAAAGCAGATTGGAAAAATACATAGTAAAATTTGGAAGGGCTTCAAATATGTTTATTTAGGTTAATTGATTCAAATAACTGAGCAAATGTGAGTACATAAGAGACTGTGGGAGATAATTGATATTACATAAATGATATGGGCTTTGATTTGACTTTCTGGAGGGATTTTGAAAGGCGGGAACCTATCAGCATAATATGGTATCAAACATGGTTGCTATTTAAGATGTAGGTTAATAAGAAACAACTGGTCGATTTTAAAAGAGACACCTTGTTTTGTTTAATTAATTTTTAAAGATACAAAAATGATGTACAGTAGAACTGATTATCAATAAAATCCATCTGCCTGTGTGTATCTTAAGTGAATTGGTCCTGGAATAGCATATCACCATTCTATTTTTACTTTTGAAATTAAGATTTCTTTTTGGGATTTCCCTAGGTGCTTCTACTGCATGTATGCTTAACTGTCAGACCGAAGGTCGAATGTCTTTGCATTAACTTTGGCAATTTTGGGAATTCTCCTGGATTATTTCTCTCTGCTTTTGATGACAGTTTGTGTCATTTTTTATATCGACTGCAAGATACAAAATCAATACAAAAATAGTCCTGTCTGAATACGTCTTAGCTGGGATAGGGAGGCGATTCAGAATAATTCAATCTTGTAACAAGCTTTGCTGAGTTGAGGATCTTGTCTTGTTACTTTTATCTCGGCAAACCAGGACAGACCAGGAGGGAGTAGTGTATGCCAAGAGAAGCAAGATGTATTTTTTTTACACTTAAAGCTTAAGGGTCTCCCATGTTTGGCAAAGCACCATCTATCTCCATACTGTTCACGTTGCTGATATGCTATTATGGTGTATCCAAGTTGCTATTTTAACTTCCAAATTAAAATTTGATTCCTCCCGTCATCAGAGACTCTACAGACTATCTGAACATGTTTCCTCTCCCTAATTTCACTTCATCCGTTATACTGTTCAGGTTTGGTATTGAGTAAACCTGTGTCTGGAGAAGCTTTTCATAAAGATAGACACTGTATGTCAAATACAGAATGCAAATGCATTAATGTGTTCACATTGAGAGCCATTCTGCTGTATCTAGACTCATTGTCTCAGAATTCTGGACAAGGAATGCTGATTAATTTGTCTGAGGATTTGTCTTTGTAGCAGTTGTGCAATATAGAACAGCCTGTGTGTTACTCTCGGTCTCAGCGGTGCACTGGAGTTGAGATGCTGATGTTAGACTCCAGCTCACCACCAGGACAGCTTTTTAGATTTAGTGCTATAATCTCTAACTAAAGTCTATTAGCATTTAAAAATTGACATAAAAGGTCAGAGATCAAAGATCAAGATCAAAAAGGTTCTTTATCACTGCCCTTTGTTGTATAATATTTGACTGCCAGCTTCAGAAAATTATTTTAATTCTCAACGATCATCATTTTTGAGCGATTATATTTGTTGCAGATGCATATCTGTCTAAAGTTGAATTTTGCTACATTAGAAACAAATGCCTCATCAGATATCTGATAAGAAAACTTGGTTAACAAATTGCAGTTTCATTGAATAAAGGATTCAAAATGTCTGTGCAGCTTTTCTTATGTTTGAAAAAAAATTAAAAAAACACTTAGGCTGAATTACAGTACAGTATATGACCTCACTGACCATATTTCATGTTCTTAATTGAACTGCAGATTTTCTCATCTTAAACAATTCCAAACTTTCAAGCAGGAACAATAAAAATGTAAAGTTAAAGAACCAGTAACACTTTATATCAGCTTTGCAGCTTACCTATAAAATAAAACTCTAGATAGGATCTTAAAATGTAAACTATAAGGTATGGTAAGAGTACCAGTTTAGACAGCGAATCTACAAACAAAATATTTTTTTTTAATAAATGTAGCTCAATGTGTTTTACCAGCTTCTCTATCACAAACAATGTGTTTTCTAAATATTCATGTTCATGTATGGTTTAGTTATACATCTCTGTATGTAACAATTCAAAATTACATAGGAAGAGAACTGAAGCACTGCTAGATAATTTGTAAAAGAACAAAGGATGTACTGTATAACTCTAAAACTGTTTTTACTTTTACTGAATATGCAAATGCATTCAATTACCTGTATAACTGCATCACATTTCTAGATACTCAAATTATTTTTTTGCCTTAAAGGTTATTTATTGTTTGAGATCATGCAGTTTTGTTTACAGATTAAAAAGCTTTTTTAAAAACTTTCATAAACTTTTTTATCTTGTAGTAGAGCACAGTACATTCCAGTGCCTTAGACTACAGTTTTAGGATTATTACCCTTAAGTGGATTTAAAGACCTAAAGCACCTTGTGTGCTACAGATCAAATAGCAAACATGTTCCTGCACTTGAAAACAAGTAGATTTAAAGACTGTTTAAGTATTATTTTTATTCTGATTATTGTTGATGAATGGTTTCTTTTTAAAATAAACACTTTTACCAACTCATGGGCAACTGGCAGGTTTCAGAGATTCCTGATGTGAGATGATCTGAGCTTACTCTGACCACCTCAAGTCCACTGAACTACTCCGGCATCTTGCCAGATGTATAGTAGACTGCTGATCGGGAACTTGCAGTCAGTGACAGTGTGGATACAGACTCAACCTGCCCAAACTTTTTACTGGTAGAGTTTCTGGAACTAAACAGGTTACCTGCACTACAGTTATCGTGATTAAGGCTTGCATACAAATCACACATGAGATAGAAATAATATAGCAAATTCCTGAACTTGGGATAGCTTTTCTTTTTTTAGCTTTGAACCTTTGGTGAAGCAGTTAGAGCATTTAGCACTGAAAGAGCTGACATGCATATTCCCCACATTTTAATTTTAAATATTTAAAATTGGCACTAGACATATGATAGCCCTTACATATAATTCTGTTAAAATAATGGGTTTGTCACACAAGTCTGGAACTGTAAAAGAATCGCTGCTTTGCCAAATACATTATACAATTTTAAGTATATGTATAAACAAAATGAAATATCTACTTCAGGGGAAAGAAAAAGGAAAGTTTTCCATTCTTCTCTGCGATCCCTCTATTGTCACTTGCATTTGGCTTTCATTATGTACTAGCCCCAGGCGCCTGCAGTCCTGTAAGGGAGCCAGGAGTAATTTGGTTTATAGAGATCATATGGCAGGGAAACAGCGCTTGAAAGACAGAACTCCAAGAACCATATTTGATGAATTTCCTATGATTTGAGCCTGGGTTTATTCTTTCCTGTTGTGGAACAGAGACCCTAGAGCACACGCGCCGAGCTGGGGATGAGCGACAGTGAGGGCCAATTAAACTACAATATACACACTGTTTTTGCACATCTCAGATTGCATTTCCTATCAGGAAAAGGGGCTCTGAAAATGATCCAAATGAGGGCAGGAAACCACACAGAGTGTAGGTTGCCTTTGTCATTAACAATTAATGTAACCACTATGGCTGGAAAGTACTACTTTTGGAGTGCTTTTTCATAGGATGTTAGCACACACACACACTAAAAAAAACAACAAAGAGTTTTGGCTGGGGCAGATTGGAGGACAGTATCAAATCCAAAATCTGTTAGAAAAAGCCCTCGGGGAAACACGTTTTTGGTGAAAAGTGGCAAAGAAAACATTTTGTTTTTGTGTTTTTTTCCTATATCAAATAAAATCACTGCACTAACACGTCTGCTCATCTTAGATTGATTCCCCCTTTCCGTTCACTAAAATGCCAGTCTTCATTAATGTGACCAGAATGTCATCAAGTAGTTTAATGCCCCTTAATTTCGTTGTATCGTTTACGTTCTTGAGTAGAATGGAAATGAATCCCATCTGGGCTTTTTTGGAACCTTAAAGAGAAAAAAAGTTGACAGGGTATTTAGACGTGCTACTTCACTTTGCATTAGAGTGTACAATATCAGCAACAAGGAGCCCAAGTGAGGCCAGGTTTCAGTTCTTGTTCACTGGGCCTGGAGCAACGGATCACTTACCTCAGGAAATCAAAGTCAATCGTGGAATATCTGGCCTGGAGGAGAGCCCAGAGGCCCCATGAAAAGTGTGAAACCTATGTAAAGAAAGAGGATTCATTGAGAAAATCCATTACAACTCAGGAAGCCAATGAGCATGAAAAAGAGCTGTCTTCCTGATAAAAAAAATCTGCTGTCAGGGGGGGTTACCCAGGCAAGTGTACCCACTCTGGAAAATATAGTTATCAGTATTGTCATGTTATTGAGATGCACTCAACTGTACCCATCTCCCCCTGAACTCTCAAATAGTTGAATTATTTTTAATGTGTGAAATGTGAGATATGCAAAACCCAGTGGAATTCTCAGACATTCCTGCAGCATTCTAGAATTTAACTAGAAAATTAGATGTGTTAAGTTCGTAGGATAAAATGTTGTGTGAATTCTTATTTGCCTGATCCTGAGGTCTGAGGGGGTATTTCTAACTTGCTAGTGAAAGTAATATTGGTGAAATTCTGGATTCATATTGCATTTACACTTGTTTAATTATTTTAGCTAGTAAAATTAATAATTAAAGCTATAACAAATGAGTGTAAGTCAAAGCTGCATATACTGTAGGAATTTTTTGTTAAACTACATTAAAGATCAAGTAGAGTATTCACATTGAAGTACAGGAATACTTTTGCTTTACAGGTATTTGTCCATTATGTTCACTGTAATACCATTACACAGCAGAACCTTCCTTGATTTTTTTTTAGTAAGTTGAAGTTACTTTTAAATGGATAAAAATACGCTCGTACATTTTTGTTGTTTTAAGCACAGCTTTTGTAAAAAAAAAAGCAATTAAAAACCTGGAAAGCAAATAAAGCCGTGCCTCAGTGAGCAAAGTAATGTCTGTGTGGAGGGAAGAAGTGGATCATCCCCCCTGGTAGAAGACAGTGGCACAAGAAAAAAGAGTTAAGTGCGCTTGCAGTGTGACACTGTTGTTATAACATGCTACCTGTGTACCAGAGCTGCTCTTGATGAAACATCGTTGTTCTCCCGTTGTTAAACAGGATGTTGGAATAAGGTTCATTGTTATACTTTTAAACAATGCACCTTTGAAAACGGATGAGGCCATCTGAATGTGAACATGAGACAGGAATGTACAGGCCAGCTTACACTGCGGAGATCATGATGAAATTCCATTGGATACTGTAGCTGTTTGAGCTACTGTATCTCAGCTTTGAAAGGATATAGTACAGATTCTTGGACGTAGCCTATCCCTCACTATGTAGTGGCTGTTACATTGCCTTCATAGCAAGTTTTTATAGGCAAACCTGGAGTTGGAATAATATGAAAATACAGAATACTGTATGTGTACTTTATGTTTGATCTTTTGCTTCATGACTGCAGGATATCTTATGAAACCTGAAATGGATCTCACAGTGAAACAGTAAAGCCTTTTTTATAGCCTACAGTGATCTGATTATGACCACATTCATTAAGGACTTCAGGTTGTTATTCTCTTAACAGAAAGAAAAAATAAAAAATAGTATAATTAATGACTCCAAGTTAACTCAGATGATAAACATGGACTGTATATTCCAAACCTGAAGTGTAACCATTTAAAAATGAAGTTCCCAAGTCAAAATTTGTCCTTTTGTTTCCTTCTAAGCCAAACAGTGCCCTTTTTTCCTTTTGGGCAAAGTTGAAATCTAAATTTGTGAAGCTACCCCTTCTTCAAAACAGTATAAAAATGTATGTTTCATAATTTCAAAATTTAAAGAAGTGTGTACGTATTTTGTTATGTGGATTTAACTTCTAAAAAGATCAACTCAAATAGCTATCAGGTATATGCCACCTGTTTTAAGAGCTGACCTCTTAAGCTTCTTGCATCTCCTAAGCTGGAGGGTGCCACAGTAGATTTGTTTTTAATGCGCTCTGATTTTCAAAGCTCTTCTTTTTTTATCCTACTTCCTGCTGCCTGCTTGGACCTTCAGTACAGCAGCCCTGTATAGGAGAGCCAACACACAGCAAACTGTATTTGGGAAAAACCCCTGCAATTTTAAAATTCTAAACAATTAAATGACATCTGAGCAATGACAGCTACATTTTTCTTACTTATGAAGCATGTTGATAGTGATTTTATTTTTAATTTAAATTATTAACCATATACACAGTAAGGTCTTATGGTACAGTATTTTCAGAGGCACAGCAATAATGAAGTTGACCTCCTCAGAATCTTATGGCTCTCTCTTTATAACAACACTGTTTTAAGTTCAGCTATCCTATATGCAAGACACTGCATTTTTAGGTGCCATTCACTTACAGTATGTTTAACTTCTCTTCCCAGCTGTTCTGTTGTTACCAGTCAGTACCTTAATTACTATTTTATTTTGTAAATAAATGGGTAGATGTAAATATGTCTGTCTCCATTCTTGGCACCTTGTTACCCATGCCTTATCCCCCATCCCCCCCCACGCAGATAGAGATGGAGTTCTGAATGACACCATCTTAAGCTAACAGTGAAAATGCTACTCTGACAGAAAGCAGTGACAATCGAGAAATTCTAAAAGAAAGCCAGTGAGGGGAAACAAAAACAAAGCAGATTATTACTGTCGATCTTTAGGAACTGCACAGACAAGTATGACATCACAGAGCCACAGTCTCTGGCCTCCATTCTCTTTAGCCCTGTGTCCTTTGGCTAACTCACCCAAGACTTTAGATATGGAAGCAACAACTTCCTTAATGATTGTGGCAGCCATCAAACTTTTAGGAGACGCCACTAATGAGTTTCTTTTTTTATTGTGTCCTGTAACTGTTCATGATCTTGGGCAATGGTATATTTTAATCAGTATCTTATGCTTAAAATCTCCTCTGGGCACTGTAGCAAACATGTTTTAGTTCGATAGAATAAATGTTTAACCTTGCATTTTAAGCCTTTTATACAGTGAATCTTGATGATTGCACCTACTTTAATTAAAATCAGGTATCATTGTGATTATGACTATACAGTACTGCTGTTTACTCTGTGCTAGTACTGTTTATAGTTTATGTAATGTAAATACAGTGTATTACCCTTGTGGATTGAGCAGTATTGTTTTTTTATTATAGTCCACATAGTTATCACAGAGGCCTCTCGAGAGATGGCCTATAGAATTGCTGAGAGTCGGATCCGACTGACCGGATATCATCATCATCAGTTATCACAGAGCTAAAAGGAATGCCAAGTTACTGTACATCTGAAAAATAAATGTTTTGAGCTTATTGATATATTTGAACATACAATCTAATGAATTATGTATGAAAATGTACTGTAAGTAGTAAAAAATGCACTAATACTAATTTGTTTGTTTTGGCCACACAGACTTTTTGCCTGACTGCTCCATTGTAATAAGCTGCATTTAGTATTGTCAAAATTCAGTTTTTGTGCTTGTCTTAAATTGCAACATTTTTATGTGGAAAAGCACTGCCTTTAAATAAATATCTACTATTTAATGTTATTTGTATGTAGGAAGTTCACAGTGTCTAATAGACAAATGATGAGTCAGACTGGGATGTTTTAACTTACTTTTAATTTAAAGAAAGTAACTACAGTAGTTTAACTATTTGTGGTTTAAAATTGCACCACGGCATGCACATTTTCATGATAGAATTGCACTGGCTGAATTCTAGGCATTTTGTTTGATTGTTAGAGACAGCAGTTTAATTTACATAGTGATATAATAGCAGCTACTTGATGTGTTTTTGACAAATGACAATCCCCACCCACCCCTGCCTTTAGTGTCTCTGAGGTATAAATCTGAAAGATATTATTGACTTTCTTACTCCTTTTTAGTGGAGGCTTTTTCTGGGTTTTGGCTGCAGCTGGGTTATTTCAAAAGAAAACACTTTATCATCATTTATTTGTAATTTAAAGACGCTGCCACACCACTTAGAAATTTCTCAGACAATTCAATGCATTGTGTTCTGGGTAATAAAAGCACTTTTGGAATGGACCAACATGACTTAGACTTCCAGAGAAAGAAAATTGTTCTTCAAACCACATGAAAACTTGGCAGGTGACCATAGTTTCTGTTGCAACGAATCCAAATCACTTTACATCAAGTCTCCAAAAGTATAGACAGTGGAATGACTTCAAACGATGTATAGACTATATAGCAATAAATTTCAGAATAATAATTTGATTGCCAGTGTTGTGTTGGTAGTGGTATATATCACTTAGAAAACATTTTATGATTTCTCATTTACCACAGTCCTGTGTATTCCTTTAAACCTCTTAACGTAGAAAAAGAATATTCTTAATAAATCCCTTAAAGATACCAGAATATGTTATCTTTTAGTTTTTATGCTGACTGTTAAGTTTTTTAGTGTAACTTCTGTTTTTGGATACTTTTGTCTCTCCTTTGCACATTATGTATTTGTAGTGTAGAGTTTGTAATATTTACTATGAAAGTTACTGTATTTTTAAAAAAGGATACAAGTTTCTAGTTCACTGTTTCTGAAGTGTAGTACTCAGTACTCACACTGTGGCCCGGGTCCTAACTGATACTGCTAAGGAGGGATGGGTTACTTCGAAAACTGTCAAAAATCTACATTTTGTACATTTTAGAAATTGTGAATAATATCAGTCTGATTGACCTTACTTGTCCGTGGATACTGTAAAAGCATATAAATATTGAGACATATTAAACATTCCATATTTTTAAAAATCTTTTCCATCTTAATTTAGATCAATCATTTCAGTGTTCTTGAATTTATGGTGTGATAGCAAATCTATGTAATGGTAGATACAAAAGTTCAGAACATTTTCACTTATGTATTATACATACCTTATTGAATTGTAATATACTGTATGAGTTGACTTAAGATGATAGCATTCTTTGTGTTTTTTGTAAATTATGAAATAAGATTTTTAATTAAAATATCATTTTAAATTACTAAAAACCTCTTTCTTTCCAAGTGTGGCATTTCTTGTTTATTGAAATATGTACAGTGGGAGCTTTTTTTTCCGATTTGTTAGATCATGGAGTGCTGAAACACTGATGTCAGAGAAGTTTTGTCCAAAACAGTGTGTAATACCCTGCTCTATAAATGTCTCGAAAGATTGCTTTAAATT